CCGCCGCCGCCCGCGCCTTCCCGCTCTGCGCCCGGCGGCCCGGCTGCCTCTCCGTCCGCGCTGCTGCTGCGCCGGCCTCACGGCTGCAGCTCCTGTGACGAGGGCAACGCGGCCTCGTCGCGCTGCCTGGACTGCCAGGAGCACCTGTGCGACAACTGCGTCCGCGCGCACCAGCGCGTGCGCCTCACTAAGGACCACTACATCGAGCGCGGCCCGCCAGGTCCCGCCGCCGCGGCCGCCGCGCAGCAGCTCGGCCTCGGGCCGCCCTTCCCCGGCGCGCCCTTCTCCATCCTGTCGGTGTTCCCCGAGCGCCTCGGCTTCTGCCAGCACCACGACGATGAGGTGAGTGCGCGGGCGGCCTCCTCGGGGGCTGCGCCGGGGAACGGGGGCTTGTGTCCAGCGAGGACACGCGTGCTTGCTCGCCAAGGACCTCCGGACCGGTCCCAAAGCGGGCGGGGGGGGCGCTCTCTGGATTGCTTGTTTTTCCTTTGACTACGTGGCGGTTGTTGCCACCAAGTGGGTCATTGCCTGCGAAGTGTGTGTGTAGAAGTCTGGCTTTGGTGTGCTTGCTGCGAGGGAGGGACCGCGGGAGAGTTCCTAGACGTGGAGCTCCCCCTTTTCCGTATCTAATGTTCTGTGTGGCAAATTGTGGCAACGGTTGTCTCCAACCAACATGAGGTGGGAGAAGCTAGGGTGTGCGTGTGCGTAGAGCTGGTCTCCGTGTGCGAGGGTTCCCGGAAGCCCCTTAACTTGATGGTTCTCAAGGTTTGAGAACACCCCCCCTTTATGGATTTTGATGTCCTCATTTCTGTTTGACAAAGCGCGCAAGCTGTTAAGATGCGGGATGGAAGGGTGTCTGTGTCTGTTATCTGTTTAGACGTGGTCTCCTTGTTCAGGTACACTCCAGGCCTTCCAGACTACTGGGTGCCCTCCTTTATCGTATTTTCTCATTTTTGTTTGTCCAACTCGTAGATTGTGGGCTTTTAGGTAAGGTATGAGCCAGGATGGAGATGGCTGTGTGGGTGTGGAGTGCGTGTGTGACGCCCTGGTTTCCACGTGCGCGCTTGTGTGAGGCGGAATAGGGGGACCTTGCCCATTGACCTCCCCGAGATGGGAGCCCCTTGGGCCGCTCCACCCTGCCCCGACTTCGATCCCTGCAGGAACTGGTTTCCCTGGTTGGGGAGGTGTCTCCAACCCGCTTAGACCGGGGCTCGACTTTCGTGGAGAAAAGCCAGACCCAATTGCAGAGGCTCGAACCCCGGGGGCGCAGGGTCCGAGGGTTGCACTGCACCCTTCGGGTTTGAGTTCGCTGTTTTGGCGAATAAACCTTTCTTTCTCATTCTTCACACCGTGTGAGACCTTCCACTTACCTGAGCCCACTACAGTAAGGGACCAAAAATTTTGAGGAGCGGGCTCTGCTGGGGAGGGTCGTTAATATAAACCATCTACCTGTAGACCCGTGAGATGTGTGTGTAGTCGCTATGGTCTTGCCTTGGAGGGAGAGCAGATGGCAGAGGTTTTTAAAAATCCTAGTGGGAGTTGCTGTCTGCGAGTTGGAGCGAGCGTGCTGGTACCGAGCAAGGCAGAGGCTTGCACATCGCAGCCTTTTCCCCTCCTAACCTGTTATTTGGGGAAGAGGGCGGAGCTATTGCCTGATGGCTTTAAGCCGGCGTCTCCTATTGGAAAAAAGTTGAAATTCTAATCTACTTGTTGTGGGCGCCGCATTTTAAGTTTCCTTCTAGGTATTAAGCTAGGGGGCATTCTTTTCCTTCGTTTTTAGGCATTGAGTAGACTCATCTTAAAAGTTTCCACATTCGTTGGGTGAATGTATTATGTTCTTTTCATCACTTTTAGAAAAATGAATGATTGAGCTAAATACGGATCTTGAAGCTCAGGAATGAAAAGATGGAGTCAAATCACTTGAAGATTAGGGTCAAATGGGGGGGGAGGGGGAGGCAGTGAAGGGAGGGAAAGAGCGTCTTGAATCCGCCACAGTTTCCCTCCTGGGAGGGGCCGTTGATTGAATTCTCCCTCCCAGCAGTTGAGTTTAAATGTCAGGTTTTATTTATATTCCCAGTTAAAGATCCACATTCGTTTTATTTGGGCTAAAACAGAAGATGCTCAGTGTTGCCAGACTTGTAAAAGGCTTATACTTGTAAAACATTTATACACTTTTAAAATTATAAAACTGTTCAAATGGTGTGGGAGAGTGTAAATTGAGAAGTGAAGCGCCCCTTGCCCTGGAGGTTCCTGGATGCCCTGAAAATTCACTTTGGAAGTTGTGCAATACTAGGTTGCATTTTGGCAAAGACATTGAGAGATTACATTGTTAAACTAAATATTCTTTAGAATTTTTTAAAGATTTTATTTATTTATATTGACAGAGAGACAGCGAGAGAGGGAACACAAGCAGGGGAGGCGGGAGAGGGAGAAGCAGATTTCCCGGGGAGTAGGGAGCCCAATGCGGGGCTCGATCCCAGGACTCTGGGATCATGACCTGAGCCCAAGGCAGACCCTTAACGACTGAGCCACCCAGGTGCCCCTGAAATTTTCTGTTTCGAGCAGAATTCTGCTTCCCCTCAGTTACTCATTTAAAGAAGAAAACTTAGAAATTAATTTTTATACCTTTAATCATCTCTGCATTTAAAATGCTAGATTTGAGTTTAAAGGTGACAAACCAATGCTGGGGAATAAAGGACCCAAGTATTAGAGAAGGCACCAGGTTCAAATAGGGGTCCCACTCACAAATTCTTTCTTCCCTTCTAAGAAAATGATCGGTAATTGTTTGGGAATACTGTTCTTTTAAAAAACCATTCCTCTGACTGGGAAAGGAGCATGAAAGCACTTTGGAAGGTGACTGTCTTATATTTGATGTGATGGATGGAATCTCTAAACCCATGTATTTTTCTGTATTTGTAATCTACCTCGATTTTGATAATGTTCTTTACTGAGTTGCCTTCTGTGTCAACAGGCTCCATTAAATAATTCAGGGTTCCCCTGCCTTACAGTGATGCCACCTGACCTTGGGAAGGAGGCTGGGACCCTGGGTTTTCCCCCTTTTAATTTTAGGGAGGGTGCCTCCAACAGTTGGACACCCCGGGATGCTGAGGCAGCCAGCAGGGTCTCTTTCCCCACCGCTTTCCTTAAGAATCCCTCTGGAAATGGCTCCTCAGGATTGACAAGGTGGTATTTTGAGAACTTGGTTTTAAAATGCAGCTGCAAAACCTCAAGGGAATTGGGTTTTCCTACAAAATGATAAAGGAATTGTGGCTCATTTAAAAAACGTAGATTGGGTTTTTCGCTAGTTTTGTGCCTCCGTGGTCAGTTGAAAGGCCTGCGGCGCCAGGCCGGAGGGGCAGGCAGGCCGGGAAGTGCGGGCCCGCGGGCCCGGGGCCGCTGGCCTCGCGGCCGTCAACACAGGCGGCGGCCCGGGAGGCGGAGGAGGCGGCGCCGCTGTGGGCCTCCGCCGCGACAGGGCCAGCCTCGGGCCGCCTCCGTTGTGGGGGACGGGGGTCGCTCCTCTCTCCGCGGGCACCCGAGAAAGCGTCCTCGAGAAAAGGGGGTGCACGCATTTTGGGCGAAGAGTTAAGGAGTTAAGTGCGTCTTGAGCGTGCTGCGCCGGCTGCTTGAGGAGTGCCTTTATTTATTGTATTATTGATGTATAGGATGTGAGCCCTTTGCTGCCTTGGCGGCGACCCTGGAAACACATATCTCGGCTTGGGGGCGGCCAGGGTGTGTGTGTTGCGTGTCGAAGGGCTGGGCATCAGCATTCTGTAAATGGCAGGAAGTAAAGTGGGGTCTGAGCGTGTTCTGTCCCCAGGAAAGGCCCTGTCACTAGCGGTGTGGGGCGGTGGGGGTGACACAGTTGCCATCTTGAGCCGAGGGAAACATTGTAGTTCAGCCCACCGACGATGGCAATATTGTTCCCAGTTAGGGCCGGCGGGAGCGGATTTTCCTGATTCTCCAGGATGGAAAATGGGGTACAGGTGCTGTTATAATTTATATTTAGTCCCTGCTTTGGGCTTAAAAAAAGAAAGAAAGAAAAGAAAAGGAAATAAAAGCAGCTTCCTAGAAATATAAGTTCTAGAATTACAACCCAATATCCTGAATATTGACCCATCCATCCTAGGCTTGGGGACTGTCTTTTCCCAGGAAACCACTCAAAACCACTTTGAGGAAGTAATGCTTGTGGAATGAATTCTTGTCTTGTATCTTATTTTGAATAAGTCATGGTGAATGGGGACGTCACCGGTACTGGTAACCAATATATTCTACATTCCTAGAGTCTATAAGTTTTTTCAGGCATGCATCCCCAGTGTAAGCATGTTTTAAAACTATGTGTATGTGCCATGTAAACTACAAAATGTATACCAAAGGACATTTTGTAAGGACAAGAGGAAAAAAATGAATAGAAATGTGTGTTCTAGTATTTCTGCACCCCATCTTTCTACCTGCTCTTAATGATTTGGTGGATATATGTCTGCTTAACACATACATGTCTGTTTGCCAGAAAACCAAACTTTCCATACATACCTTGGAAATAATTGGGGCTTGATGCTTTGAATCCATTTCAGCAGGTAGATGCCTATAGGTTGAAGTCTCTTGAATTAAAAAATGCTTGGTGAAGATCTATGGGAGAGAAATGTTCATTATTGATACCTTAATTCCTTAGCCTTGAATGTAATCTGTGGGCTTTTTAAATTTGAGCTGAGGAATGTGCCCAGCCTTCCATTAAAGTGCATAGGGATGGATTTTATCAACATGGATCCCGGGAAGTGGGTCATGGCTAGTTCGGCAAGCCTGTGCTTATAAGGTTACCCCACAGGCATAAGCTCATCTAAAAGGTGCTAGTAATATTTGAGGTGGTGTGGTATCAGCAGTCTGGGGAACCTTTTGTGACTGCTTTGGCTTCCTAAAAAGTAAACTAGACTAGTTTTAGGGTTGCATAGACTTGCTTTTGTTTTGGTCTGTAAAGTTTTTATTTCCAATGCTCAGAAATACATTTCTTTGGAAACAGTGAAGATATTTTAGGAAGAAAACTTTCTTTCTCCCAGACTGCAGTTCTTCAATTGATACTACTATACATTCTTTATGATTCAGATGTTTTCAAGTTAAATACTAGGACATGGAATAAAGAAATCCGGAAAGTGTTTGAAGATAAGAATAAAATTTCCTTTGTACACCCCAATTCTCCCTCCCATTTTAGTTACTTATAAATGCTATTTTTAGAGTCCTTTCAGATTGCAGGACATGAAAACCAACATTAAAATGTATAGTTTCCCAAAGCATTACTTAAAATGGAAACAACTTTTTTCTCACATATAAAATTGTGAGCATAGCTT